GTTTGATGCAGGACTATACCATTCTGCATTCAAATCTTCAGTGTCTCTTCAGGGAGAGGGCCTAACGGGTCTCGCCTCGGTATCTCCGGTTTTATGTGACGCCATTTGTGGTCACATTTCCGAGGTTCTTTGTCACCATCATTGAGGGTGACGTTTTCAAACTGATTAGTCAGATTCTTCACAATGTTCTGGTTTCCATCGTTTCTTGGGTCCGACTTGGGGGTCTGACCTAGGTACTCTTTTATCTCTCGCAAAGCCTGAGTCAGCTCTCCTATCACTTTGCGAATGGGGGTTCGATCATCATCCTTATCCTTACCATCAGAAGAATCTCCGTCGAAAGAATCTTCATCATCCTGTTTTCCTTTCTTATCATCCTCATCCTCATCATCAGTCTCCGGGCCTGATTCTTCGTGGTCAAGGTTGGTTTCGGGATCTCCAATCACACTGACCTCGTCTTCATGCTCATTTTTGATCTTATACTTCTGCATGTTTTTCCATAACCTGAGTTCATACAGTGGCTGTTCCAGACACTTGTATTTCTTCTCAGGTTTGGATGCTGGGTCGGTCACTATGCASTTGATGGACTGTTCCCTGGTGACCAATTTCACCWGGGGGTCATACTCTGCTGACGGGCTTACCAGTCTCACCACATCAGTTCTCCATTCCTTTACTGTTGTCAGCCACCATTTGGCCCATTCTTCCTTCTGAACCTTCTTTTTGGTCTCTAGGGAGTACTGCAGTACGGCTAGCGCTACCCCATCCACCAAGGTGGTGAAATCCTTTGTGGCTCCTCCCCCAGTTTACCCACACGGACACTGATGGGTCTTGGAGAGGAGACGATGTCTCACTCTTGGTTTGGAGGCGATGGGTCAGACCTACAGCCACCTGGGGGTGATCGGTATGGCTGAGTCTGACGTGTCTCCTCCGGGAGTCATCAGGCGGGAGMCTTGAGCTCGGCCTCCAGCTACCCTCCTTCAGGTAGTCGCTCCCTTCGTGAACCCCGGCCTCTGGGTCAGCGTAGTAGCTCAGGATGCCTCCATTTGCCGGTTACTACCGTTTTTCTGGTAGCCGCTCCCTCATAGGATGTGCACTTCTTGTTGTGGCCGAAATGAGATTTAGTGACCTGTACAATAGGTCTCAAGGGAACTGTTAAAGGGGAGTTATCCTATCTCCCCAGGTTAATAACCATTAAAAAATCTTGAGATCTTTCTAATTAGGTGGTCTGGCATTTTCTGTTAATTTGGAGACGGCAGGATAGGTTGGAGCAGTTGGTTTTATCCCCATAGTGTGCATCAGATTGTTGCCTGAAGAGAGCTTCTCAGAGTTGGGCTGGGTTCAGTTTGGTCTTCGGTCCTTAGACTCGCCGGAGGGGAATCTGTCAGCTTGCCCCAGATGAGACGATCTTYGGATCTGCCTTCTCCTCTGCTCTCGATGTCCTGCTGCTTGCTGCTTCTTCTCCGGTCGATGGCCACGAAGACACTTTACTACTGGACTGCTTGGCCTTTTATACTCTCTCTGGGCTCGTTCGCCCCCCCCTCTCCTTCCTTTCTGTGGAAGGGTGGAGACTTT